AGCTTGTCAAGATACTCGACAAAGACAAAGGTGAACAGTTTGAAGTTTATTTGAAAGAAAAGTGGGAGAAACTTGAAATGGAGATTAAGGGGGCTTCTTTCTTGAATTCTAAAAGTGGACACTCGCTGGAAAATGTCAAAGAAATCGTCAAGTTTTGTAATGATTATGTGAACACATGCGAGGAACATCTGGTTAGAGCTCAAAACAAAATAGAACAATTTTCGTTCATCATCCGCTTATTCGACTTCAAAAGATATGATCATTGGAAAGATGCAGCCGAGGAGGGAAAAGAAGTTTTTACTCAATTGATTGTTGATATCGATAATCCTTCGAAAACGATCAAGGATCTCATTGAATTCGCAGAGAAAAAAAGTTCATACTTCAGAATTCATGCGGAGGAGAACAAGGGCCCATACTGGTCTGAGCTCTATAAAAACCATTCAGAAAGGCTGATGGAAGTTTGTAAAATGATAGAAGAGGGTAGGGCAAAGCTTACATCCACAAACCCTGTTGAATGCAGTGAAGACACAACTAATTGATCAAGGAAATAGGAATCTGACATTTTAGTATTTTAGTATTATCTTAGTATTATTTTTAAATTATGTCAGTAAGAAACAGATCTAGACATTTTTAATTTTTTCCCATTTTTAATTTTGTAACATTTTAATGTACAATTTAGAATGATTCAATAAGCAAGTATTTGCAGAAATGCATGAAAAAACTGCATGGATATCTTAAAAATTATGCAGAAAACGGTTGGAAGTTTTTAAATGACAGACGAGGACAGAGCAAAGCATAGACCCACACAAGTTTTGAACAGCGAAGATAAATCTTATTGATCAAGGAAACAGAAATTTCAGTATGTTAGACTTTAGTAGGAAACAGACATTTTTATCATTAATAAATTACTCTTCACTACTTAATGAATGAAAGTAATTTGGTTTTATTTTCTTACTCAAACCATAAATTAATAAATCGGGTCAACTCGCTAAAAGGAATTGTGCATGTGACAAACAATCAGTATAGCAGAGTCTGGCAAAGCTCCAAATTTGTCTGCGGAAGCTCCATCGATACTCTGTGAACCATGAGTGAACACTAAACATTGGTAAATTAAAATTTATTGGCGAGCGCTATTTCTGTTTTTACTCGCCCTTGTTAAACAATTGCAGATCAGAAGAGACTTAAGGAATTAAGGGACAATAGATTAAAAGAGACTTAACCACAATGGCCAGATTTATCTACAAATACAACTTGTGAAGCGATATCAGTTTTACAATTAATCTTCTAATACATAATAGCTGATAGTAATAAAAATTTACCTGGAAAAAATACTATTTCCAGGTAATGAAGCTGAAACCCGAACTGATGTGAGTACAATTTCAATTTAACGATACAAGACTTAGTGGCTAAATATGTAGGTCAAAACGCAGTGGGGTGAAATTACTAAATTACCGTGGTTTTTGCAGTTGCTGCTGCTGCAAATGTGTCTGCAGTGGTGTCTTTAGTTTTATTGGTTGTATGATTATAGTGTCAGTGATGGGCTTACTTAAAACAATTCTCATTTATCTTATAAATAACTATGATTCAGATAAAGGTAATCCAAAACGTGCTGTGAGCTGCTTTGTTAAGAATGTTTGCAATTTTGCATTGCTGTCGTTTTATTGTAAAATTATATGGTGCCGTTTTATATTGACTTTTAGTTTCAATTCTGTTGAGTAAATGAAAAGGTAACGAGGCAATCTTGGGGTAGTATTTAAGTACAATTAATCCACTCTATCTAGGATGTCTAGTTTTTTGATGAATTTTCGAGAAATCATCTTTAAGAGCGGCGAATTGGAGTCAATTATTGGAGATGAAAGATCAGCAGCAACATTGCCGCCTGAACCAGATGACGGCCCAGACTTTGAAATAGAACCAAGGGATGAAGATGAGCTGTCAAATAGGGAAGGTTATCATGACTTGGTTGAAAATGTGCAATCCATGGAAATGGTTTACCATAAAGCTACTCCAGTCACACCAACAACATCCGATAGACGGCTAACACCTCCACCCGAGCCGAGAGTCCAGGCTCATGAAATTGATTATCATAAATCTAAAAATTATGGGAGGACGAGTAGGGCCGAAATCCCTTTTGAATATGGTGAAAGCAAGCAAAGAACATCCGATAGTGTGCTTACACCTCCACCCGAGCCGAGAGTCCAGGCTCATGAAATTGTTTCTGATTATCATAAATCCTCAAAATATGAGCGGAAGGGTAGGGAAATCCCTTTTGAATATGGTAAACGCAAGCAAACAAACAACGTGATTTTGAAGCCACCTGCAACGTTTCATCAAGTTGGTTTTAGAGAAGTCCATTCTAACCAAGAAGGCACTGAAATCTTGTTTAACTATCTTTCAAAACTTCGTTTTTCTTATCGGATTAATCCGTCAGAACCGACTCTCCTCTCCTATGTTGACGAAATATTTATGCGACCCGAAGATACAAAACTTGACCATGAAACGTATTATAGAAAATATTTCACTATCATGGAGGAGGATAACAATTATAGCAAGTCGTACTATTTGGACGATAGTCGCTGTTTTGCCAAGGACGTTGCGACTGGATTCAACGTTGGAGGATGTTACGGAGCATTTTGTCTGGGAGCACTCATGTCAGCTGACTACAGCTCATCTATATCCTATAGGACTGCTCGTTATGAGTCCTCAACTATCATCGAAAAGTACATCTGCTTTACGAAAAGGGAATTCAAAGAACACCCTGACAATTTTCTCACAGCAGGGTTCAGGGAAACTGTTAAAACATATTCTGATCCAAAGGATCTTGAGGAGCATTTAGGGACGTTTTACGCGTGGAAAATAAAACTTGGCGGGTGCATCAAGAAATCAGTCGTAATGGAAATATCCGAAGATGATAATCAGGAAAATATAAAAGCGGAGCTAAAAGGTCAGTTTGGAGGAAAACTTTCAAGTCTGAACTTGGGATCAGCGGGTAGTAGTACCGAATACACCAAAAGACAAATCAATGAAAAAGCAAGCATGAAAACGGAAACGAGAACTAAAGGGGGTAAACCTGAGCTTTGGTTGGCTGAATCAGACAAATCATCTTCAAAGCCCTCGAACTCCGAGTCAATCAAACAGCAATGGGCCAATTCGTTTGACAACACCAATTTATATCCAATAGCATATGAACTGAAGCCAATATGGGAGCTTGTCAAGAAACTTGACCAAGACAAAGGTGAACGGTTTGAAGTTTATTTGAAAGAAAAGTGGGAAAAAAATGAAGTAGAGATAAACAGGGCAACTTTTTTGAATTCCAAAAGGGTAAGCTCACTGGAAAATATCAAAGAAATCCACAGGTTTTGTAAAGATTATGCTGAAACATGTGAGGAACAAGAGGTTAAAGCTCAAAACAAATTAGATATCTTCTCTTTCATTATCTGTTTCAGCGAAAGGTTTGAGAACTGGAAAGAAGCAAGCAAAAATGGAAGAGAAGTTTTTAATCAATTGATTGCTGATATCAAAAATCCTGAGAAAACAATCAAGCAATTCAGAGAATTCGTAGAAAAAAAAAGTTCGCACTTCAGAATTCATGCGGAGGAGAACAAGGGCCCATACTGGTCTGAGCTTTATAGAAACCATGCAGAAAAACTGACGGAAGTTTGTAAAATGATAGAAGAGGGCAAGGTACAGCGCAAACTGACAAAGGTTTTGAACAGTGAGGACAAATCTTCTTGATCATATGGAACAGACATTTTAGGATGTACATTGTACAGTAGAACCTCTATCATCTAGATAATATAGTAATTATCGGGGGACAGTGAACACAGAAAATGCACGGTATATAAAAACCGGTTTAGAGCGGTTCGCATAATCCCGTTCTCCAGCCTCTGATCACAAATTTAGCCCTTCAAGTGTCTCATATTATATACTCCATACGCACGTATTTTGTCGTATTGTGATGGGACATGCAGGTCGATAAGTGCTCAAATCACCATAATATATGGGCTATCATAAATCACAACTGTAGCACAACACGAGCCAACGTTGACTAAAAGTTTGGGAGAAAGGAGGAGGCCCGGTATATCGAGGCACCCGGTTTAAAAAGTCACGGCATATAGAGATTATAATGCATTATGGCGTGGCAAATATTCTATACTACTTCATACGTGATTTGATTATGTTTATTCTCCCACTTGAATCATAAGCGTACAATCTGTATTCTGTAGAGGAGATAGGCTGACCATGTGGTTAAATTACGCGCGCGCGTCAGCTTTATGTCACGGTAATTGCTGAAAAGTCAGTCTTTTTATGATGATATGCTCTAGCGCCTTCCTTATAGCAAAACATTATTTTACACTTTTTGTTTCTCAAAAAACTGCGCTAAAAAACTATGAGATATTACGAGGATTACTCTGTTCACGTCTTCAGGAGAGAGGTAAGACACAGCAATTCAGTTTATCAATAGTTTATGTCAACAATTTATTATCAAAGCAAATACAAATTTTGTCATATTGGTCAAACTTAACACTGTAAAAAAGTCACAACTTAGGTCCATCAAATATCAAAAAGCAAAACAATTATATTCCACTTTAGAAACACATCATTACGAGTTCAATACATGATCAAAAAAGTTGTTTTCTCTATAAAATTCTCAGTTCTAAAGTACAAAGGATCTTTTGAAAATGATTCTGGGGAAATTCTATTTTTCAAAGATTTGCGTTGTTTAATAACACGATGACTTTTAACAAAGCTTACTATATACTATACTACTAAATTGCCCCATGAAACACGATACACAATAGTAAACCATACAAATATGATCTGTACGTGTTTTTAGTTTCAAATCAGCCGGGTTTTTTCAAAAAATATAAAAATTTATGTAAATGGCAAATAGTAAAATAACGATCACACAGGTCACAATTTCATTTCACATAAAAATAACAACACCTAAACGCTATTTTCTCTCGCTCTTGAATACGATCCATTGTATTCACATAATAATTATCTCAGAGATGCGCATTGCTCAAGTTAAGTTAATCAAAATACAATTCAAGTTCACTTTTCTAATGACTATTAAATATTATACCTAGCGATATCTCGCACTGCCAGCAGCAGCAATAGCGAATATTTTGTTTTTCTTTCTCATCTCCCACCACATTTCATACTCCTCTACATGTAGGAGATATCTCCTGATAGGACCTGGGATCAGATCCGCAGAATCCACCATTCTCTCACAAAACCCAACTTTCGTAGTAACAGTCAGATACTTGGTTTCCTGGTCCAAGTTCTCGTTTTCCAGAAGCGCGCGCCGCGCGAGACACGACGTTTTGCGCTTGATGTGCGGTATTGAGTCGTCAGTGTTGGAGGGTTTGTCGCCGCGGTGTGTTAGAAAGCCGCTAGAAGGAGGCTGGGTCAGCTCTAGTAACTTGCGGAGGTTGCTAGGTCCGGTGAGGCGGCGTATAGCTAGTCGGCACAGAGATTGCAGGCTGGGAACTGTACCTGAAATGGGAGGTGGGTTAGTAAGTCATGTGGTGTGACGTCATGTCACGTGGTGTGACGTCATGTCACGTGGTGTGACGTCATGTCACGTGGTGTGACGTCATGTCACGTGGTGTGACGTCATGTCACATGGTGTGACGTCATGTCACGTGGTGTGACGTCATGTTACGTGGTGTGACGTCATGTCACATTGTGTAACGTCATGTCACGTGGTGTGACGTCATGTCACATGGTGTGACGTCATGTCACGTGTTGTAATGTATGTAATTTGTACACAAACCACAGTAAAGTGGCTAATAATTGTCCAAGACAAGAATTACTGAGAAGTGATGGTAATTGTGGGGTGGTAGCCGAGGATTGCTTGCGCAGTTTTAGTACACGTAAATACCAGATCTCTATAGTGACTTAATGCGTTGGTATGCCACGTGACGCAACAGCAAATACCACATTCCTGGCAAGGCACATGATTTGGTGTAATGTTTAACTAGCTGTGCTGCAACATCAGGTCACTCCCTGTATATTAAAGTCACTATTGTATATTAAAGTCACTATTGTGACGGTACATTACAACTAGACAGAAACAAAGTGCGAAGGGCCTGAACGGAACCCCTCAGTTTCAGTTCCTTGTTTAACACTGCCGTACAGCAAGGACATTCGCATATTATATAGTACAGCAGACAGTATTTGTATTGTAGATATAAATAATAAACAAGCCTGATATTTGATAGATCAGAAGATAAATTGGTCTGAAAAATACAGTCCGTTACAGACACTAAATACTTCTCAAATAAGTCGACAAATACTAATTGTGTACTCAGAACACTGGTTATTAGTTGTGTACTGGCTATACTACTGGTTATACTGGTTATACTGGCTATACTGGCTATACTGGTTATACTGGCTATACTGGTTATACTGGCTATACTGGTTATACTGGCTATACTACTGGTTATACTGGCTATACTACTGGCTATACTGGCTATACTGGCTATACTGGTTATACTGGCTATACTGGTTATACTGGCTATACTACTGGTTATACTGGCTATACTGGCTATACTGGTTATACTGGCTATACTACTGGTTATACTGGCTATCACAAACAGTTGTTATACTGACATAATATCTCCGATTGTTGTGTTACATACTGTACAATAGATTTACAGATCATCCCAGTACTTGGTATAATATTCAGTATCATAAACTCTGAGTATACTCACTAAACTAGTACAACAACACACTCCACAATCCTAACATTCCATAATACTGTGTCCAGACACTATCTTTTAAAATTACACGTTCCCCGTCATATTTTAGGGGCGGAGGAGACCATTACAGTCGGATTTGCGGTGCCTTCTTAAAATACTAGCCTTGATCTAATCGTATTATTAACATTAAAAGCAGTAAGATAATATTTAAGATTCCTAAGAAACGTTCAACAAACTCTTTACTCTACCCAGATGCTTATTTTCTAAACAAGACCTGTTTGTAGACATCGTTAATTTTTAACTATGTAATATATTAAATCATCAACATATGGCAAATATTCAAGGGTTTTTGAAGCAATGACTGTTTGCTTACCTTACAACTCTACTCTACCCTACTCTACTATAACTCCTGTAATTAGAATGTTAGTAGTAAGTCAAGTCAGGAGTTACACTTATTTACACTCAGTTACACTCAAATACACTCGATACCAGAGCGTTACACTCAGTACCAGAGCGCTTACATCACCACTATTTTAAACGTGGCTAGCCAGTGACGAGCTGGTAAAAGCACAAGTGTTGTTTCTTGAAAAAGAAAGACATTCCAAGAGGAGAGCCGTCTGTTGGGAGTTTTTAAACTGTAGTATTATTATATTCAGTCACAACACTGCGACACCTGTATTCTGTAGTCATCACCTTGTAGGTGCAATATTAGAAGATATGCAGACAGAAAGGTTAAAAAGTGAAACTAGAAACCCTACCAGAGTTTACAGTCATTGTTGCAATGTCTGATCTAGATACATGTGTCTTAAAATAGGCATGATGAGAAAACCAGCACCCACTTAAACTTCACTCCATAAATATTAATCTTTGCCATTAAATCAATCTATAAGAACTTGCATGACCATTATATCGCAAGCCTCTCTCTCTCTATTCAGAACAACACCTGGGGCCTGAATGAAAGATCAGTAATCAGTTCCGCATGACATCAGTTCTAATAACTATATCTCTGTAACCAGATGTTTCAGTTCTAATAACTATATCTCTGTAACCAGATGTTTCACCCAATTAACAAACATACCAGTACTAATTGTAGTTAGCATGCCATCCAACGTCCTTATATTGGTTAAATACATTGCAGAAGCAGAATCCCATGCGGGCTGGACAATTACATCACTCCTAACTAAAGTGCTTATTCAAGTACTCCTGAGGTTATAACTGTGGTTATTGCTCCAATTACATCATTTAACATGATCCCCTTGTTCCCCTTGTTCATTTTCCTATAATGTTACCGACAAAGAGAGAGAGAGAGTTACAAATTTGAAACTTAAGGGATACGTGAAATAGGAGTGAAGGAAATGTACAGACGGATATTGCACGTTCATATTATAGTGATTGTAGCAATCTTTTATCAATGATCATCTTTTATTTCTCCCACTGATTATCATCTGTAAATTGCTTATTTATTTATTCCTTATTGACTTGGATTTCCGACATCTCCTCAAGGCTAGGGTAGAGATAATAACAGCTTCTAAATAATACTTAACATGTGATAATATCATACACTAACTGATATCAAGAGTTATAACATTTCACTATTAATATTCTATAAATAGCAGATAAGATAAAATGACATCAGGAGATATATTGTCTGTTAAACTCAGCACTGCAAGGAGCAAGGGAGTGACAGATTCTGCAACGTTTCCTTCATTTCTTCACAAATTAATTACTTCTCTACTACTTCATGTGGCCTAGGTATGGTGAAGTAAATTGACAGTGGCACAATTTAGATCGATTAAAATTAGAATAAGTAGTATATTCACATAATATTCAACCTTATAAAGTACTGTTTGACACACCTTCAAATTGTACATGATAAAAAGAGTCAAAGATAGACACACCTTACTAAAGTCCTTATAGAACATGTTAGAGTTTGTTGTTTATTACATCATCAACTACTGATACTACTAATGTAACAGATTTACATTTGTTATGATAACTGTGACAACTTTAAAATCATGAAAACTATTGTAATATCACAACATCTTTTATCAATATTTGATAGATCGGCGAGAGACTAAACCAGCTTCAATTTCAACTGACATGAACTTAATTAAATACAGATCACTGGAATTCGTCTACTTGCTTATACAACTTCTCAAAAATGTGAATACAATTTACAGAAATTTGAAAGTATGCGTTTTTTGTGTGTCAGATCCTAGTAGACAGCTACAATTGCATTGTGAGTAGTATTCGCTGTCATATTGCAGCATGTCTTTGAAGAAAATGTCAACATAAAGAACTGCACTCTGCAGGCTCCTGCTAGATCCTGCTGGGTGTGATTATTGTGATCATGACAAAAAGTCTAGACACACTATCAGAGAACATTGCACAAGATCGCCCCTACACTCAACTAGTAGCTACACCAATACATTTAACAGTCTACAGCAGCTCAGAACCAGTGTTTTAGGACATGTCATAACATGCCCAGATCAACTATTCCATAAGATCAACCTGATACTCCTGACAAGAGTTGGGGAGATGTGATATGTCTAGGTAGAATAACTTCGCAGCATGATAAACGGCTACATGGCACAATGCACATGTGTATTGTTCTCACTGTGGATTTAGTGGCTAATTTGAACTAATAGATAGAGGAAAATAACGGGGATGTTTACTTACCCAGATTATATGACTGGAACTTCAAATCTGGGAGGGTATGACGTCACAGGGTATGACGTCACATTCCTCTCAAGTGTACTGTTTTACTCCAGGTTTTGACAAATTATTTCCCGTTAGTAAAAGACAGATGTCATACCCAAAATCACACTATTCTATCTACATAACACTTGGTAGGCGTGGTAGTGGCAAAGTAAACAACTTACAATTGTCTTGTCAGGATACAAAGCATTTGAAATACCGCCACATTATGTACACATGATTTATTAATTAGATTTAGAGATGGTATATAAGGCGCCATTAACCATTTACAAACGTAGAATAATTATATTATCCAAATTTGTGAACTTTCCTAAACTGAGGCTAAACGTAAGTAACTATAGTTAAACTTATGGTAAACATGGTGATGATTGCCGACTGCGGCTTCTAGTAGACGTGATGTGGCTGCTCTATTTTATTTATTAGGCAGTATTTTTGGCTGGACTTCTCGAAATAATTTTGAGCATGTTTATGGCGTGGGAATTGTCTGCGGAAACCTCACACGGGACGTAAATAGAAAGTTCAAGGTTTAAGTCACCTCATATGAACGTCATTCTATGTCTAACATTATTTTCTCAGTCACAACATTAAGAGTAGAAAACATTATAATTATTCACAAGTAATGTGCCAACAACACTCGGTGCTTTACAGTACAATCCCACACACTTATCATCCGTTATTATATTGTAACATTTGGTATGCCGTCTGTAACTTCTTAACAACAACATTTCCGCTCCAACATAATTACAAACACCCATCAACCCGCCAATCAAAAGCCAGGAAACACTTCGTTAACCAATCAAATGTATTGGTCAAAACCACGTGACACTAAAAAGTTTATTGTGTCTGTAATGAAAAGCGGCTGCTGACCAATGGGAAGGACATGAAGTGTATGCCACAGTCACGTGGTCTCGTTTTCTATGCGTATTTTATGTGCAGTTTCCGGTGATGGTTTTTGCTCGCCAACACAGCCACACGACCTTAGACCAAATAGCCCGGCAAAAGTGATCTCTCCCAAATTTCAGGTGACGCCCAAAATTGATTTCCTGCTTACTCAAAGTACCAGATTCCTTCTAC